AAAAAAAAAAAAAAAAGAAAAGAGAACTCGAACCAATTCCACGAAGCAAAGAGGTTGTTACATTCACGTATCAACCGCGACCATTTCTATTTCAGTGCTTTCGAAATACACCGGCGAAAGTGCGGTGGAAATTCAATGAAAACATACCACGAGAAACTCGCTTGTACGAACAAAAGAAACTAAATATTGACGCTGGTGGGTGGCAGAACGTTTCTCGGCGGCCCTTGGACCGTAAGTCGCGTTTCCGTGACTTGCGTTTCACCGGCCAGTCCTCGAGAGTACGTAATAAGAGACTCGAGAAACGGAATCTAAACGCGCGAGAACGCTGCTTGCTCGGAAGTCGCGAGCAACTTGCGGCGAAACATTGTTCTTCGTGGTAAAAGAGTTGATGCGGACGAGCGATTTTTTTTTTTTTCTTTTTGTGTGTGTGTGTTTTTCCCCTCGCAGCAACGTTAAAGCAGTTTCACACTTGGGATGTTCAGACAGTTATTTTGTCGTGCAATAGTCACGTCGCAGAATGTTTTCAATTTAACGTCAAAGCAAAGATAGCAAACACTTTTTTAAAGTGTACTTTTATATTTTAAAAAATAATAATAATGGTAGAATTATAAAACATACGGATAAAATAACGACAATAAACTTCGTGTTCGTAGCTTCGTTTGAACGATCTTATTAATTTAACTTCAGTTTTAACATCAAAGCGAAAAGAAAGTAGAGATAGACTAGATTTCGTTAGATAGTAAACACTTTTTTAAAGTGTACTTTTGTATTTTAAAAAAAGTGACAAGATATTATATAAGGGTGTAATTTAATTGAACGAAGGAAATACTAAAAATTAATTGTCAATGTGTCGTTCCCAATTTCACACCATTAACACACGTAATAACATGTCACGCTATTGGCCTCATGCGAATGCCTCGTATCAGCTATTAGTGCATAATTGCTGTCACTGAATTTTGTAGAGTCCCCTTATACATTTAGGGAAATGTATCTACCCAGTCGTCATAGAGTTAAACAGCAATTTGACGCGGAGAAACAACACACAGTGACGACATAATTTCACTACACGTGTTCCCCTTGTTTTCTCTTTCAATCGATGCTGAACTATCCTCCGAATATTTTCCGCCATTCAAATGCGAGGCCATTAAAAAAATCGAAACAAAAAGGTTTGCAAACAGCGTGAGAATCGATGGGATCGTTTGACTGCAGCCAGTTTGCGATCGGTACACGAACGAACGATTGTTTCGCCGTTCGTGAAAGTTGTCGCATCGGCGACGATCGATAGAGAATTCCCGCAAAGGTATTCGGCTTAATCGATCGCCATCCGCGGCCCGACCGCATTTATGCACATTGCCTTCCTCTCGGTAACTTCTGGCGAATTTCCAAGCTTTCTGCCCGTGCCTTTGCTAACCCACATACTTGCTTAAAACGGTGTTATTAAGCCCCCCTCCGGACAGTGGACGTCGCACCTTCCTTCTCCATTTCGAATGCAGTTATAGTTCCCTTCCTCCTCTCTGTTTTCTCAACAACACACTCTCTCGTCGTTCTCTGCTTTCCCCTCTCACTGCCCTCTTCCTCTTTCTGTTTAAAACTGTAGAGTGCAGCCTGTAGAAAGGAGTCTTTCTTGCTTTAAACGGAAACGCGTGATTGCGATTACGATTGCATCTGAACGCGCGAGGGGGAGTATGGTGCTTTTTATACGAGAACAGAGGCAGTCTTTTCTTCAGAGGGAATTGCAACTGAGAATTACAGGGGGAGGGGAGAAACTGTGTGACGAGTTGATTTTAATTTTTAACTTTGCTTAGAAAAACAGCGTTGAAAGAGTTAAGAGATAAGATTTTTAAGAACCTTTCTTGATCTTATTTTGATTTTAGAGTCAAAAATATATTCGTCTTCGCGGTCCTTTTAAAACAATTAAAAAATATTAAACACGTTAATTTAATAGTCTTCGTATCAAGTACTCCTTCTTTTACCAAGTGATGCAACAATCGTGCCGCGTTGGTTTTCACGTGAAGAAACACAAATTCTGTCTTCAATCTAAATATCAAAGATGTTAATTATACCCCTCTTTTTTACCAAGTAAATAGTAAAATAATAAAAATATTATTGTCGTGTTTCTCCACGCAGAGAACTGAAATATTCTAAATATTAAAGTTGTCGATTTAATAGTCTTCGAACACGAAGTGGCATAAAAATCATACTGTCGTCTATTTTCACCGCGGAAAATTCCCGCAACACGAGGTGCCCTCGTAGCAAAGTATGTGCTACGAAACACGCAAACGTAGTTTCCGCTTTTGTATCGTCATTTCGCGCAGGTCAGAGGAAGTCAATTAACAACAGATGCGAGAAATTACGGTGTTCGTTGGAATACTGTAATTAACGGTTACCGGTCGCGTCCAGCGAAACCGAGAATTAGCATTGCGCAATCTGCTGCGACACGTGCGATGACATTACACACACGATACGGTGGGAGTGCGTCGA